CGGTCGGTGATTCTCTCTCATGGTGGATGCTTCTCTCTCTCCTCCTCCCCTTCCTCTCTGAAATCAATAAAAATGTATTTTTAAATACAAATATTCGCAAGGCCGCCCAGAACAGACGGGCCCCCTGAGCCGGGAGGGGACCAGAGCCGTGGGAGGGTATCTCCCCCATCGGAACACCACCCCCGGAGGGTTCCACGTCCCCCAGGGAGTGTGAGTCCTCCCTCCACGCCCACGGCACCGGGGCTGCAGCCGGCTCCCCGCTCCTCGCACTTGTAATTACGGGGGAGGTGGCCCCAAGGGGTAATTTAAGAGGAGCAGCGCCTTGGCTCTGGGGTGACGGCCGGCCCCGTCAGGACAGGGTGCAGCTCTGGGCTCGGAAGGACCCTCAGGTAGGTGAGCGGCCGGGGAAGGTCAGCCAGTGGGGTTCCAGGGGGGCGGCCGGGGAAGGTTGGCCGGTGGGGATCCAGGGGGGCAACTTTCTGAAATCAATAAAAAATATATTATCCTTTTTGAAATCGCATGAGGCCCAGACCCGCTGTGTCAGCGGGACCCCAGACCCGCCGCGCTGGCAAGACCCATCAATGCACCTCCTGGTGACTGGTCGTTTGGTCGTTAGGGCGTTACGGTCACTGGCCTTTTATAATATAGGTTTTTTTAAAAGTCTGGAGCAGATGAGCATATAGATATACCAGTATATACTAGAGGGTCGGTGCACAAAATTCGTGCATGGGCAGGGTCCCTAGGCCTGGCCGGCGATCAGGGCCAATCCGGGCCTTCCAGCTGCCAGCCGGGGCCTTCCTCCCTTCCGTGCCGCCCCCTGCTTGTCAGTGCACATCATAGCGAGCGGTCGGTCTTCCGGTCGAACTCCCGCAGGGACATTTTGTATATTAGGCTTTTATATATATAGGTGTACAGGGTAGGTCACGGTCAGGGCAGGAACTAGGGCAACATGGGAACATCTGCAGGTCATCCGCCCGAAACTACACCGGGGGGCACCCCGTTCTGTTTGCGGGGGAGTCTTTGGAGCTGTGATGTGCAAAATGAAAAGTGGGGAGAGAAATGAAACCCACACTACGGCTAAATTGTCTTTTTTTTTTGTTAATCCTCACCCGAGGATATTTTCCCATTGATTTTTAGAGAGAGTGGAAGAGAGAGGGACAGACAGACATCGATGTGAGGAGACACATCGACTGGTTGCCTCCCGCACACGCGCCCCGACCAGGGCCCGGGGTGGGGAGGAGCCTGCGACAGAGGTACATGCCCTTGACGGGCGGTACGTCTCCCTTCCCGGGCTGTGGTGCAGGAGAGAGGCGACGGATGGATGTTTCTCTCTCTCTCTCCCTTCCTCTCTGAAATCAATACAAATATATGTATTTTTTAAAAATCGCCCACTTCTGCTCTCAAACAGCAATGGTTTATCCTAGGCGGGGTCGGGGGTGACCGGGCTGGGGGTGGACGGCCGTGTCCGGGGGTTAGGAGATGTGAATCCTAAGGGGCTGGGTGGGCGGGGACAGGGGTCCCCGAAGGGCTCCCCCACTCCCCACCCCTCAGGGCGATGCCCGCGAGCCAGGACGGCCCCCGTGTCCGTGTTGGCGTGATGCTTGTCATTTTCGGACGTGTCCGCTCTCGTGGAAGGCGGCCTGTTGGGGCGACGATACTGTACGTGGATCTGAAACGCAGGCTGGAGCGGCCGATGGTGCGGGCAATCACGGGGGGCTGTGGGCATGCGGCTGGAGAGGGGGGTGAGCCCGGCATCGGGCGTGCCTATGGAGTCACTGATGAGGCTCGGATGGACCCCTGGTTGTTCGGAAAGGGGGCGTCTGTCCACCGGTCAAGGGGGGGTGCTGAGCAGGGGACAGGGCACAGCCTCCTTGTGACGTGGCTGAGCGAACGTCCCGGGGTTTGAGCTGGGGAACGTGTGTGTGCGGTCAAACCCTGCGATGACCTCTGACTAGTGGTGGTTACGCCCTGGCTGGTGTGGCTCAGTGGGTAGAGCGTCGGCCTGCGGACCGAAGGGTCCTGGGTTCGATTCCTGTCAAGGGCACGGACCTGGGTTGCAGGCTCCTCCCCGGCCCGGGCTCCGGTCGGGCGCATGCAGGAGGCAACCCATTGATGTGTTTCTCTCTCACATCGATGTCTCTCTCTTTCTCTCTCTCTCCCGCTCTCTCTAAAAATCAATGGGACAATATCCTCGGGGGAGGGTTAAAAGGCAATAGTGGCCGTTAAAATCCACGAGGTTCGTAAGCAGAATCCGCAGGAATCAGATGTGGAAGGGACAGGCGTGTCTCTGAACCTACAAGGCCGATCGTTGGTAAGTTTGTGTGTGTGTGTGTGTGTGTGTGTGTGTTAGTGTGTGTGTGTGTGTGTGTGTGTGTAGGTGTATGGGGTATGGGGGGGTTTCTGAGTGTGTGTA